CGAATTGCAACATTATTAAAATTTAAGTTGCAACAGGTGACAAATAAGCGTCACAATGTTGCAACACCATCTTTAGTTTAGAATGATTGAAGTTATCATTCAAAATGAACAATAAGAAAATCGTTCATTTAGAACGATCGAAGTTATCGTTTTAAACAAATGATAAAAGAATCATTTGTTTAGAACGATTGAAGTTATCTTTCCAAACGAACAATAAAAAAATCGTTCGATTAGAATGATTAAATTATCATTTCAATTGAACAATAAAAAAATCATTCATTTAGAACGATTGAAGTTATCGTTTCAAACGAATGATAAAAGAATCGTTTGTTTGAAACGATTAAAGTTATCTAAATGAACGATAAGAAAATCGTTCATTTAGAACGATTGAAGTTATTATTCTAAATGAACGATAAAAGAATTGTTCATTTGGAATGATTGAAGTTATCGTTCCAAACGAACGATAAAAAAATTGTTCGATTAGAACGATTAAATTATTGTTCTAATTGAATGATAAAAAAATCATTCATTTGGAACGATTGAAGTTATTATTCCAAACGAACGATAAGAAAATTGTTTGATTGAAACGATTAAATTATCATTTCAAAAGAACAATAAAAGGATTGTTCTAAATGATCTGAAATTTCAGATTAATCCAAAATTTTCAGTTCAGTTTAGATTTTTACTGATTTACGGCTCAGTTCAGTTTTGGATTGGCATTTTTAGGATTTATAATCTGAACTGAACTGAACTGAAATTTTCGGATTGGTTTTGGATTGGCCTATAATCTGAACTGAACTGAACCGTTTGGAGCATTAATTAAAAATTATCTTTTAAATGATATTTCATTTATTTTCATTCTTTTTAATAAATTATGAATTGTTTAAGCTGAACATCTTAAACAGTAATTCTAAGAAATAATAAGAAGAAATAAAAGTGATAAGAACCTTTAATCAAACTTTCAGAATATATATTTTTTCTTATTTTTTTTATTTTTTTTCATTTTTAAAATGATCTATTTATAGAAAAATATATGGAGTTTTATATCTTATGTTTTCTTAGTATAGAAAGTATAATGTGAAATCCAAATCATTTATAGTCAAGCATTATTATTCAAAAATATAATAGATTTTTTGAAAATATTTTTTATAATATAATATCAAAAGATAAATTAAATTTAACTAATAATTAATATTTTAATAATTAGAATACCTTATCTGAAAATTTGATTAAAAAATTAAGAAGATTACGTAGAAATCTATTTACACAAGAAGATACACAACATTTATCTAATAAAAATTTTCAAAATTATAAATCAGTATCAATAAATAATTGTATTAAAGTAAAGCAGATCTTATTTTACTAGTATCTAATGATATTGATAAAGTTGTTAACTTAGACATTTTAAAGAATTTAAAAAACTTTAGTTTTATAATTAAGGATTTAGAAGAAAGAATCTTAGAATTAATAGCAACACTAACAATAACAGCAATATAACTATCACTATCAAAATCATTATCAGCAGTATTGAAAAATTTGGGAAAATTAACCAAAAAAATTGCAAAATACATTGAAGAAATTATACTGTTTCAATTTTTACAATTAATATTAATCATATTCAAAGATTAATTACATAAATATAAGCTACATAAAGTAGTTTTGCTTGAATATAATGAATATATTTAAGAAACTTATCAGGTAGTTCATGATATTTTCAATAAATTTTTAATATATATTTCTTACTCTTTGTACAAAAAATATCAGGAAGAAGAGTAAAAATTCATTTCCTTTTTTTAAAAATAAATTAAATAAATTATTACTGAAATATGCAGAAGAATTCAGGTTTGTAGAGGATAGCAATTCCCTTACTATTACTATTACTATCATTAGCAGCAACAGAAGAGCAAGACAATCATTACCATTATTAGCAGTAGCAATAATAACAACAAAATAAAAAACAATTAAAAACTTCAAATTAAAAAAAAAATTCGTTATATGAAATAAAAATTATTTGAAGAATATTAGGAATTTAAAAAAAAAATCCTAATAATGATAATCTAATATAGGTAGATCATATTTTTTTATTCTGCAGATAATACATTTCACAATTTCACTAAACGATCATACATGTAGATTATGTAGTTATTCATTTACAAAAAATAAATTATATTATGAATATAGTTGAAATAAATGTTTATAATTAAAATATTTTTCAGAATCAGTCAAGTCAAACTAGTTAAATAATTGTGACTTTTATCCTATTTTTAATTTTAATGTGAGTTGATTAAGATGATTTATAGATGATAGTAAATTATTTTGTTTTGCATACTAAGATAAGATAAATATTTCACTTATTTTATTTTTATAATTTGATAATTGATAAGAAGTTAGTAAAATCATTTCTGCCTAATAGGTGAAATACAAGTTAGCTCAAAGTTTAGAGTATTTGGTATAGTTATTTTTTTACTATAATCATTTAGCCGAAAAATAAGCTTCATAGCAAATTGAATAACTATTATAATCATAAGATACTAATACCAATTTATTCTTTTCTGAGTGAGAAAGAGATTGAGATAAAAGTTTCAATTGGAGACGCTTTATTTCAGCTTCTTTTTGTAATAAATACTATTTATATTGCCAAATTTGAAATTTTCTTTTATTAATTACTTGGAGAATTTCTTTTCTTCTTGCATGTTCATTTGAATTAGTATCTCTAATAATACATTTCTTTAAATGACTATTTCAATATAAATGATCATCTATAAGCCTTTCAGAAATGAATATCAAAGAGTTACATATACTACAATATATATAGTTTAATAGATATCTGTAAATTCTTTTAGTATCACAACTAATATCATAAAATTTTTCATACATGCAAATATATTCATTCTTAGAAAAAATTCCTTGGTTCTCTTTAAGTAATATTTTGAATGAACTATAAATATAAGAGTACTATATTTCTGGCATTTCATAATCATATTGCTTTTCTAAAGTATATATTACACTTATTATCCTTTTATATGTAGAGTTACAATTAGATAAATAAAGCATAAACTAGGCTTTACTATCTAAATCCATATTTTACAGGTGTTTAATCAATAAAATAGCGAATTATAGTAAATTATAATGTTTTATAGCAATTTTACTGATTTGTTGTTTTATAATAATTTATAGTAATTTATAGCAGTATACTATAATAAATATTAGATTTATTTTTTGTTCAATTATTCAGATAAAAACATATTATGATTCAATTAAATTAAATCCAATTACCATAAACAGCTAAAATTTGTATCACATGTAATCTTAAATCCTTACTAGTTTCTCAATAGTTTTAAAAGTTTTTAAAAGCTAGCGAGTTTTTATAAATTATGAGATAAGCAGCAAGAAGATAGTTTAATTTATTTGATAAGCAGTCATATAGTATTTATAAAAATATACAATTTAAAAAAGGAGAAAAGCCTAATACAGGTAAAACTTTATTTGATAAGTATATATAAACTTATTTTGGTTAATACATTGAGGATAAAAAATAGCTAAAAGAAAAGTGAACTATTTATTTTTCATATTTTGATTTCTTTGATTCACAGGTTAATGAAGTCATGTAACTATAACACAGTAACTATTCAAATTCTGCTTTAATAGCATCAATGTTATTCTAACTTAGCTTGTAGATTTGTAAAGCTAAAAATGATTTTATCAATTGTATCTTATCATACCTAATATAATTAAATAAATTATAAACTTTTCTTTTTCTTTTTATTTTTTCTCAATGGAATTTTTGAGAAATCATATAAAAACTATTTTGTAATTTCTTTGACTAGCATTCTTTAAGCCTTATAATTTCTATAACTATTTTTGAATCTATCAAAATTTTTTCAAGTTCTTTTCTAAACAAATAATATCTCATAATAACTACTTAATTTGTATTTTTATTTTTATTTTTAGCTATAATAATTGCCTCATATAATTCAGTAAGATTTCTGAAGTTAATGCATATTAATGCTCATAGAACTTAGCATTTTAGCTCCTTGATAAGTTTTTTAATAATAGGTAATTTTTCGTTATTAGTTGAGGTCTTCTGCTTTTTACTAGATGATTTTTCAGTAGAAGTAGGATTTATAATACATTTATTCTACGTGATGTTTGAGTCTTGAGTTTCTAAATTATTAGTTACTATATAATTATCATCAATTTTTATATTATCAGTTTCTATACTATTAGTTAATAGGCATATAGGACACAATTTTCGCAGATTATTAATATAGTCATAATATATATTATATTTGCAGGTTAAGTATACAAGTAGTTTTGAGAGACCTTGAGGTTAAGGAAAGATCTGAAGAAAATCTAGAGGAAGAAGATACAAAGAAAGATTTTTAGAGCATTTAGTATATCTTAAAGTACTTTTAATTTGCTGAATTATTATACTCTCAATCTTTTCTATTCATATAGGTAGTAAAGATAGGGTAAATATTCTCATTAAATTAGATAAAGGTGAAATTTCACTTGATTAAAAGGTCTTTCTAAGATCAGATATTGACAGATTGGAAATAATACTAAGAGTATCAGCTTGGCTTAAAATATTTATGCTCTTTTTATAGCTAAAAACTAAATATGTGTTTTGAGTGCTAAGAAAAAAGTTTTTAATAAAGAATCTGTGAAGAATAATTTAAATATTAGTTAATTATTAGGAAACTCTGTGATTTAAATTTAAAAAGTTAATATAATGATAAATAATAAACATTAATAATGGAAGTTTGGTTACTAGTAGTATTTACTTCAAATTTAGTATCTAATTTTAGTTAAATTAAAAATAATGGCAAAATTTTAAGATTAAGTGTTCACAAAAATGATTATATATGAATAGACCTTAACATTAATAATATCAAAACTAATATTGCAGTTCATATTTTAGTTGTATAAGTATTTATTCTTAATCCAGAAAATAAATCCTACTCAGAAAAATCTATGTTAATCATATTAATGGTATCAAGCATAATAATCAAGCTATAATTTAGAATGAATAACTTCTAAAGAGAATACTAAATGTAAAGTATTCTCAAATCCAGATAATAGTAACTTCAGAAAAATTGTGTAAAAGACTTTAGGTGAGAATGTTATTCAGATTTGGGATTTTATATAGTCAACTTCCATTATAGTCACCTTTATTATAGTCACATTATTCTATATAGTCACCCTAATTAGATGTCCTGAATTTTTATTATATAAATCCTACTGTTTATAGTTACATTCTACCTATAATTACTATCACCCTTATTTAAATTTTTATATTAAAAATATCATTTATAATCATATAATCACATGAAAATTTAGCATAAAGAAAAAAATATTAAAAAACTTTTGTAATATTACAAAGTTTTTTCTAATACATTTTTTATTAAATATATATGTTGACCATATTAACTAATATTATCTTTCATTTTACATATACTCATAAATTTATAAATATTAAAGTATATTTGCTCTTGGTCAAATATAGATTAATCTATATCTGTTGATTCTAAATATTATGTAGAAGTGGTAAGCTTTATTTAAAAAAAAATTTTTTTTTTTTAACAGAAAATCAGAAAAAAAAACTATAAAAAAAACTGAATATGAAATTAAAGAAGAAAATGGAAAAGAAAAAGGAATAATAATAGTTGAAGAGAATGAGTTAAAAGTTTATTTTAAAAAAGGAATATCAATAGTTGGAGTGATAATTAGGTTAAAAAAAAAGAATTATATAGAGGGGTTTTTAGTTTGTGATGGTATTTTGGTATTAGATAGTAAAAGTAGAGAGATGAATTTTTATGGTAATGTAAATCTTTGTAAAGAAGGAGAATTGGAAAAATGAGAAGTATTTAAATTTTCTAGTAAAATAAATATTAAAATTTAAGTTAAAATAAGTTTAAAATATGGATAAATCTAATTGTAACATCCTGTAATATGTCTTATTTGTAACATTCAAAATTTTATTCAATCAAAATTTAAGATCAGATATAATATTAATAATTTAGCAAATCAAAATAAATGATCATTTGTATAATGAAAATAAGAATTTTTTTAAAAAATTTCAAAAAATTGTTTGTAATTAAAATTTTATCTATGAAACTGTTTTTAATACATTAAGTAAAAATTTTCTAAATTAAATTTTACATTTAAAAATCTTGTTTATAAAATATTTAATAAAATAATTTATTATTAAGAAAAATAAAAAAAGGTGTTATAAATAAGATATGTAACAGAATATTACAAATACATTTTTTCTTAAAATATTTGAAAGTTAAATAATAAATCTTACAGTACATTAATTCAGATTGCTTTCTTTCTTCTACTTGAAAAACTAAAAAAATAAATATTTGAATTTAACTAAATTTTAAAATAAATATCAAACAGAATATATTTTTAATTACTTACTAGGTTTATTCCAAAATGGAGTTTTAAATTATTTTTCATATTTTTCATCAATTTTACTTTATCTTCCTTTTGAATTTTTCTTTTGCATAAAGTTCAAATAATTAAAAATATTGATTGTTTATAATTTTTATTTTATAAAATTAGATTGTTTGCTTTTTTAATCAGAATTTTACTTATCTTACAATCCTTAATCATCCCTTTAAACTTTGCTTAATATTGTACTGGTATAATATTCATATTAAATTTTTCTTTGATTTTATCTACAATATTTTTCCAAAAAAGTAACTTTGATCTTCTAAGATAAATCAATATTCTTCATTTCTGTTTTTTTTTTATTGATCAATAATTTAACTTTATTATTATTTTAATCAATTGTGTTTGGCATTTTTAATAATTGAAAATTTAAAAATTATTAAATTTAATTTTTTAACAATTAATTAAAGAAAAAGAAAAAAAATACTTATAAATTTATATAAAATTATATTGATATATGTTAGAGATTTGAAATATTTTGCATATAATAAGTAATTTTATTTAGTCAAAATTATTTAATAATTTCAAATTGCAATTGTAATTCTAATTTACACATTACATATAATTCAATTTACAAAATTATCTAATAATTACAATTTCGATAAAATTACTAAATTTACATGATTTCAATTTTTTTATTTCAGAAGAAAGTACAATTTTTAATAATAATATTTAGATAATCACTTCTGATTTATCTCTGATTTATCTTTGGTTTTACCACCAGTTATTCTATATAAAAATTTTTCTGGATAATTAATAATTTTTTTAAATTTATGTGATTTTTAACTAAAATTTTGCAAAAACTATTCAAATTTTATTATTCTAATTTAACATCAGAAATAATATTATCATTAAAATATTATTTAAGATAAATAATACTAAATTGTTATATGATTAAAAAAAATCATTGATAATCTAGAAAATCTAGATTATGAATTAGGAATAATATTAAATTTGTTTAATCAACAAATTTTATATTATAATCTAGATTTTTAGATTTTGATAAAATTTAAATAACATGACTTGATTTTCTAATAAAAGGTCGATGTTTTACTTTAAAACAAAATTGTGTTATTACTTTAGAAGTATGCTACATTTAAAATTCACAAAAAGAATATGCACTTCTTTAACTAAATTATAATATAAAGAAATTTGTAATTATGCTAATAATAATCCTAATAAAATTCAAAATGATATCACTTTTTTTTTAATATACAATGGACTTTAAATATAGATTGAACAACAGTATCTAAAACATTAAAAAGAAAGATATCTTTTTAGCAATTAAAGATAGTAATATTTATGTTACTTTTAAATGTTCACGTCAAGTTAAAGTTCCTCTAGTTAATAAGGCATTAAAAATTTAGATTAGTTAGACTCTTAGTAGTTGTATATTTATTTCAGATGCGATTTTGAAAGAAAAAGCTATTTTTTTTGTAAATAATTTGGGTATGTCTGAAAATACTTTAACTTTTTCAAATAGTTAAATTACATAATTTAAGAAAGAAATGGTCTTTGATGTCATAAATTATATGAAGAATCAATAAGTGTCTTATTGGAAACATTATAATGATATAGCTTAGATAATATCTATAATGCTGATAAAACTGATTTATTTTTTTGTATGACTTCTAATGAAACTCTTACATATAGATCTATTAATAGAACTAAAAAAGTAAGATTTCTTATGTTCTTATTTATTCTTATTTGTATATGTTATTAATATTGATTAACTAAATGTTGTTACTTATTATTTTTATATTAATAGTAATACGTTACTAAAAAATTTCTTTTATTTTTTAATAATAGGATAAACTAGAGTAACCATAATGTTAGCATCAAATACATTTGAAAATCACAAGTTGAAACCATTAGTAATTGGCAAATTCTTGAAATCATGAGCTTTTTACAGCATTCAAACTTCTTAACTTCCAGTTATGTATAAAGCAAATAAAAAGATATAGATAAAATATGATATTTTTAATGGATGGGTTAATGAATTAGATTATAAATTTCATTTTCAAGGCTGATATATTATTTTAATTATTAATAACACTTTATCACATAAATTTGTTATTTTCTCTAATGAAAATGAAAGTAATAATGATTATGATAATGATGATAATGATGATAATAATTTTAATAATAATTTTACTAATAATAAATTTAGAGAATCTTTAAAAGATGATGAAACAAATAATTATAAACAAAAAGGTTATAGTTTATCAAACAGAAAAGGTAGTGAAGCAAAAAAAAATAGCATTGAATTTACCAATATCTGAATTATATTTCTTTCGCTAAATATAATATCAAAATTTCAACTAATGAATGTCAGAATTATTCAAAATTTTAAGGTATAGTATATTTGTTTACTGAAAATAGAAACAGAAATTATTATGAATTTGGATAATAATTAAAGTTTTATTAAATGAATTTATTTATAATTATTAAATATAGATCAAATACAAGTAATTATATATTCAACATTTAATTAAAGAATTTGATTAAAATGCTAATGTATGCAAGTAAGTATTTATTAATTTTTTTTTCGTATTTTTTATTTTTGTATAAAATCACTAATATTTACTTAATATAGAAATAACTTGGACATTAAATAAGTAATTGATTATATTGTGAAAGCTTGAAAAAGTGTAGAATAGCAAATCATGTGCAATTGCTAGGATAAAACTGGAATTGTATCTAATTTTAATTCTGAATTAATACAATGAGAATTGAATATACTTGTTAATAAAATTCCAGATATAATTTTAACAATTTTTATTGACAATGAAATCTGAAATAGTTTAGAAAATTATATTTATAATCAAACTTCTTCACTTACTGAAGAAACTTTGACTGATGAATAAATCATAGACATAATACAAGATCATAATAAAAAAGTGCTTGATACTAATAATAAAGAGGAACTA